TATCGGAAACTCTTTTAGGGTTTCCGAGTCATTCGGAAACTTTTCTTGAGCGTTTTCGAGCCTTCGGAAACCCTAAAAGAGTTTCCGATAGGGACAAATACCGAATTTTTTTTAGAGTGTAGTAGGACTGCAAATAAAAAAAAGACCATAAACACTAATGTACTTCATTCAAAAGAGAAGCAAAATATTTACAAATGCAAGATAGGTGGTGTACTATCATCATTCTCTTTATTTTCTGATGATTGTCCATGTTTTCTAACATCAACTGTTTGTTTGTTCTTCGAGTTGGTAGCAGTGAGAGCAGATTGAGATAATGATGTGAAGTACGATGACGAAGCAATAGCATTACGACCATTCGGTATAGCTCTAAGACGATTCAGTATTAGAGTTGAACGTGAATAAGATATAGGAGTAGACTTGTTGATCGTTTTTTTCGACAACGGTTGCTGTTGTTTTTTCATTAGTTTATTATTTGTCTGTTTCTTTGATGATGGAGATTGAGAACGTTCAACAGAGGATGACTGTGAACGAGAAATACTTTTGTTAGTACCGAATGATGACGCCATTTTTGTTGATGACTAAACTTGTTTTTGTGTCCGTGGTTGACTAGTCGGTGCTGATGTGTAAGTGGAGACTGTTGCTGTTGCTACATGTGCTTTTGGACGTTTTTGTGGTTGTTGTTGTCGAGTTCCTAATTTTGTAACATCGTAATTAATCTTTGAACTGTTTCTCGTTGCTGCAACGTTATTATTTAATAAACGAGATATGAATTCACATCTTTCACGAGCAATCAAATATTTTGAATCTTTTGTAAATTGGAGGTAATCTGCAACTATGGGTAATGTTGCTGGTTGTTTCAAATACTTCAAACCATATCCAACCAATATTTTAACTTCAGCTTCATTTGTATAAATACGATAATAACCTAAAAAGGAAGTAAGAAAAAAAGCATGACAATCAGATCTAACTTACTTGTTCCAGCTTTCCCAATTCATAGTGAACGCCAAACAGATAAAATAATAAATAAGAGACTTTACCTACATTTCTTTCTTTTCGAATCCTTACATATAAATTGAATTCGGTTAAGTTAGGTTCTTTCATAAGATAATAACGATGTGATGAGTCGATTTGTTGTCCATTAGGTTTTGTATACAACGTTCCATGATGAGCACCATCTTTTGTTGGTCTATTATTGGTATCCTGTACCAATTTGATTAAATTTTCTAATAATAGTTCAGATACTATTCCTGGATAAAATTTTTGATAGCAATCGTCATCTAAGGCTCCTTGAACCATTTCATCTAAGAATTAAAGAAAAGAAAAAACAAACATTATCTATAATTTGCATCATTTCTTCTACACTTCTTAGAACTTACCATAACTTTTGTAATCTCCATCGATTTTAAAACTAATTTCCTAGAATCTAGTAGGCACCATTTGTTATGATTTAACAATAAAATACAGAAATTGATGATGATAATTTTAATCCAAACAACATTTTAAACTTGAACAATGAGAGAAAGAGATATCTGAGGAAACGTTTGAGGATCTGAAATAAACCTATTATGTAATATTCCACTTGGTATAATATGTGTGTCTTAGTCTAGATACAGAGCCTCACCCATACCTAAAACAGTACAAAATGTATGCAAATCTATGTATGATGCAAAAATGGTTATATTCGCTGATCTTTTTTTTCAAAGCAAAGCGTCTTTATTTTTATATTTCACAACTAATACCCTAGTACTTGAATTCTTTGACGAAAAGATTATTATCAACAGAGATAAGAAGTGTGCATGGCCACATTTACATGTATTTGCCTGCTCTGAGTGTTTAACAAGATAAAACGGAATTGATTTTCAATTTCATTCGTATTCCAATGTAATGAAAACGAAATAGTTATTGTCTAAAATTTTTTTCATTTTGGTACTTGAACAATCTCTTAGATGGAAAGAATTGTATATATTTACAATTTCGAGATAAACAAGAATAAATATTCTCTAACAAACACCTTTTCTTGTATGCGACCATGACTCTGCATGTTGTTATTTTGCTGATAGTCACCATAATGATATAACGAAAGACTGCTAATCTTTAAAAGGCTACGAGCCTTTTTCTTCTCTTTTTCAGTCAGGTTACTTCGATAATAAACATGGCTTCAACAACCATACCACTTCGTAATGATAATGATGGGTTTGACTCACGAAAACAATTTAAAGAACGACCAGTTAGTACAGAAAGTTCAGAAAAACTTTTGTCATGGAACCGTTCAAGAGCAACCCCAACTACCAATCAACAAGGCCAGTGGTATACAACTGCTGGTCATAAACAAACAAATAATTCCAATTACGACGTTGACTTACTTAAACATCTATCGACTGATTTCGCTGATCTACTCAATCGAACGGATATTAGTGATTGTTGGCTCAATGCTAGAGGCAAGTCATATATGATGTGGCTATATTATTCCATAGATATTCAATGAATATGAATTCCTTTTCTAATAGATACTTTCATAGCTGTTCATCGTTGTGTTCTTGCTGCTCGTTCAAATGCTTTTTCTGGTAAATGATAATCAAATACTAATGAATATTATAATAATATTGGAAATGAACTTTTTGTTTCTGATAGCTGTTTTGTCGGGCAATAACAGTCAGGTTGATCCTAAAAAAACACAAGGCCTTGAAACATCTATTAAGAATGGTAAATTAGTAATTTCTATTAGTAACACTGATCCTGAAATAATGAAACAAGTCATTATATTTATGTATACGGCTCAATGTGAATTGAATGAACGCAATGGTACAAATGCTTTTAATTTATTTTTTCATCGTTATTAAATAATGATATGTGAAAACAAATCTTTTTTTATTTCTAGCGTTTCGCCTTCTTGATGCTGCTGGTCGATATGATATTAAAAGTCTGAAAGTTTATGCTGCTCAATGTAAGTTTTTTTCCTATGAAAATTAAGTTACTATATTTACATGATTTTTCATCTTCATTAAGTTCTTATAAATCATATCAATACAAATAATGTGTGGAAATTAATAGAAGCTTCATATGTATACGGCAATATATTACTTAAACAAAAATGTATTGATTATTTTATTGAAAATGGTAAGGAAGTCATGGGTATAACCGAATTGTGGAAATCCTTCGCTGACAGACACGCAGATATTGTTTCTGACCTTCTTTATTGGACTGTTCACAAAGATGAATCCCACTTACAAACAGATTAATTACAGTTACATTCACAATGATAATTTAAAAAAAAATTATTCAACGAATATACAAAAGAACAGTAAAAATAAAAGACATGTCAATAAAACATTTCTTCGTTCATATTAGAGAATACATCTTTTTGTTCTTTGCCATGATTTTCTTGTATTGATTATTTTTTTGTGTTAGAAAAAGGAATAAAAGTAACAGCAAGCCACCGGAGAAAAAACAACAATCCACATTATATCATATGCATCATCAAATTGGTAAATGAACTTGGCCATAAAAATCAATTTCATCATCAAAGGTACTACCCGGTTCTTCATCACCATCAAGCTAAAATAAATATAACAAAACCATGTTTTCTAAGGACAGTTTTTAATGGAATCTACCTCAGAAAGTTCACGTTCTGTAAAAATAAATGGAAGACACATTTTTCGAAATGGTACAAGTAAGATGAGTATAAGTGGAAAAAGAAATGCAAAATTTGTCATTTTTATTGTAATTAATAAACATGCAGCAATCACTTGTATAAATGTATATATATGGCGTTTCATTTGACGAACCTTAAAAGAAAATAAACGTTTAATATATCGTTTAGGTCGAGAAGGAACCAGTAGACTTTATCAAACCTCACGAGCGTTCAAGCATATTGATTTCAATTTTTCAATAAACTTCAAAAGACTTTAGATGACTTGAGAAATCTTCAGAAGGATTTACCCTATTAATATCGAAAGTAAAATTGTCGAAATATAGGTTTTGAGTGTGCGTATGCGTGCCGGTATGGATGTGGGTGTGTCTTCTCTTTATGCACATCCAAACCCTCTTCTCTATCTTTTTACTTTACAATATTCTTACTTTCGATATTTTATCGATTGATATTTGAATCATTCGACATTTTTCTTTTCCATCAAAGTAGGATTTATCCTCAGAAGACGTCATGATACTTCAACATATATATTAACAGCTATAGCTTAAACATTTCATAATATATCACAAGACTTGGATCGTAGGTTCACGAGAAACCAAATTTACACCGTTTTATTTTTATCCTCGCACACATTTTAAAGCTGTAAAAATATGTTGCTTCCTCTAGTCTGGTTAGCATGTCGGTGGATGTGAGTCCTTGTGTATTTGTTCTCTTTTATGATCTATCTAGATCTGCACCCATACTCTAAAGCCACTAGAAGAAAGTCAAAGAGCTAAAGGAACTAAAAAGATAAAAGGGTGAAAAATATAGTAATCGTACTAGTTTGAAGCGAATAAAAGTGAAACGGAATAATTTTAATATCTCGTGGATTCCTCACTTTGAAAAACTTTACGACACTTTCAAACGTTATGAGATTTCTAGATTGCAGTATCTGCTGTTCCTTCTCGATTTCGATCATATGAGTTTTGTGTATACTCGTCTTAAATAGCCAAAATTTGGATAATATTTTGTTGGAATAAATGTCATTTTAATTCGACTAAATAATTGTGTACCAGATATAGATACAATACCAAAATATAAAAATATGCCAAATAAAGCAGCAACTGGAATTTTACGAATAATTGGAGCTGCAAATATTGTACAACCAATCAATAAATGTACACCAATATTTGTTAAACGTTGATCTTTTATATCAATTAAACGAGCTTTTTCTCCAGGTGCATGAGTATTACTATATTTAGATAAACTAGCTACATGAGCAAGACTTCGTACAGGTGCTGCACATATCCAAGGAAGACCAAATAGTCCACTAATCGATATTAAAATACCTAAAATAATAAAGAAATAAAAGAAAAATAATTTCAAAGAAGTCAATATACCTGCTATCATTATATCTAAGTGATATCCAGTTCCTTTGATAACTTTTGTTGAATGAACACATTTAAGTTTCGACTGAATCATAATACTAATAAACGGAAAAAAAGGATAAGAATACAATTTTATTATTCAATTCTCTTTTTTTTTTCTTGTTACCCAGTTAATTCAACTTCAAAAAAAAGTACTACAGATATTAAAATAGCAGGAAATGATGATGCAAAATAGACCCAAAATGGTAATCTTTTTCGTAATGGTGATATGAACCAAATATTATCACGTTCTAAATCACTAGGTCGAATTGAATTAGGTACAGTTATTTTCTATATAAAATCGAAAAAATATATATTTAAAAAACACAAGTATATTTTCTAGTCATGCTTATTTGTTTTTTATTACTTGTGTGAGACTATGACCACCAGCACTCTTTGTAACTAACATATCGAAAAGCACCATAAAAATGAGGGCAATTGTCATACCAAAATCGCTCAATGTTTGTCTTGTCTAAAAATGAAATATAGATGTAATGAGAAAATCGAAAAATTAATTGCAATATGAATTAGTGATTTAGTACACATTGATTCTTTTGTTTAGTTGCATTTCATGTTTTCTATGCATATATAGTAAAATTTCTCTCGATGAGGACTCCTTTAATATGAGTATGAACACATTTTTTTGTTGTTGCGTCTGTATGTTTTGACCTTACCAAAGTGAATATGAATAAAAAGTGCTAGTTGAACAAATCGTATGTTTCGAGCTGTAAAGATGATTATCAAGAAACAAATTGGTTGTATGATTCAATTCTGAAGGAAAGCGAAAAAGAGAAAAAAAGAAAAACGGACGACCAGATGTCTTTTTCTTCAGCAGCTTCTCAACCATTGCATATAAGATATGCTATCTCGCAAAATTCTTGATTTAAAGCAAAAAATGAACTTAATCAAAGATGAAGAACTTGGTTTGTCATCTTGAGTGAAGATATAAATCTCAAATATTATACGTCAGTGTTGTATCAAATTATCAAAAAAGAAAAAAACTGAATATATTGCTAATTGTGACACTAATATAAAAAAATGTGAATGATGATTTCAGTCACATCATCAAGCAGTGTTTAAACCTGATTATAAGTAGAATTTGAACGTGATGTTTGAAATTCAACTAGTTAAAAAATTTCAAGAAGTAAAAGTCAAACCACAGCTTTATAAAATAATAATAAATACTGAAAAGTAGATAGAAAGTGATATAAATTGATATTTTAATTGATAGTCACTTGATTCCCTCGTTTATAAACATCCTATTATATGGGGTGACTTTTGCCGGTCATAGCGGTGTTCAAAGTACTGTATCTGATTGTACAGGGTTTGTCTATCTCGTCGCAGCCTAATATTATAATGATCTAGTCAGAGCTTTGATAGTAGGGCCGTTAATTGGTAGAGGAAAGTTGAGCCCCTCCATCTCGCTTACCCTACAATCATATTGATGGTTGAATAATTAGATCGATA